GGCGCGCGACGTCCTCACAGGCCCCGTCCAGGCCGTAGTGCTGCACGTACCTGCGGACGGCGGGCAGCGGTCAGGCCCCCAGTGGCCCGGGGGTGCGGGTGGGTGGCCGCCGCCTGCTGGCCCGGGCAAAGACGTGGCCAGTAGTGGGTGCTGTGTCCAGCCCCTCCCCTGGGGCCCACAGCCTGGGCCCGGTCAGCAGGCCACGGCCCACGTCTTGCTGCTGAGGGCACCCAGGGCCGGCGGGCCGCAGACGAGGGTCCAGGGCTCACGGCTCTGCCTGCCTGGACTGACGTCCGCCGCCAGGGCCGGGGACAGCGGCAGGCCGACACCAGGCGATGCGCCCCAGGCCGAGGACAGGACAGTCGGCCTCAGACACGCAGCTCCTGGACACCGGGAGCCTAAGGCCAGCTGACCCAGAGCTGCGGGCGACACGTGGCCGCCCCCCAGAGCAGGGCAGAGCGCCCCGCCCCGCCCCACCCCACCCACGGGCAGCATCCTCGGGGCCACCTGAGAGCCCACTTCCGGCAGGCAGGAGGCCAGGGCTGGCCCCAGGCCACTGCGCGGGGCCCAGGAGAGGGGGTGGACGGCCAGGCCCGGGCACCCACGCGGAGGCCGCAGAACAGGCCGCCTCGGCGCTGTCCCGAGGCGCCGGCCCGAGCGTCGCCCCACTCACCGGAAGAGCTGGTGCCGGTTGAGGGTGTAGAGCAGGTAGTCGGCCAGCGTCTCCTCGCCCACCAGGTGGTCCAGCACCGTCCCTGGCGCGGGCACGGAGGGTGAGCACCCCGGCGCCGCCACCCGCCCCCAGCAAGTCCTCCCGGCCGCGCCCGGCTCACCGCACAGGGCCAGCTTCAGGCCGGTCTCCACACTGTCGACGCGAGGCGCCAGCACGCCGGGAGTGTCCAGCAGGAACACTGGTGGCCGCTCACACACCTGTGGGCAGCGGGGCCAGCTGCTCAGCAGCCCAGACCCCTTGGCTGGGCTCCCCCCTCCCGTGCCCGCTGGCCCCGGGGACCCCGCCCCTGGCATTGCGGCCCCCTCCCCCCCGGAGCGGGACACAGCCCAGGACCCCTGGGGGCCGGCCTGGCGCAGGCGGCCACAGGCCCTCGCGGCCCGGAAAAGCGGCGTCTGCGGCAGCGCCGGCCCTACCTGAATCCTGGACGTCATGGCCCTGGTGACCCCAGGCTCGCCGCCCACCCTGGTGGCCTTCCCTGGGGGACAGAGGGGCCGACGCCCCACACTGAGCTCAGGCGCTGCCTGCCGGCGGGGTCCGACCCAAAACGCCCGGGCAGGCCCCACACCCCTGCCCAGTCCACTCAGCCTCCCGCCCACGTCTGACCGCGGGCCGCGACCCCGGGCGGGTCAGGTGTGGCTCTTGCAGGGTGAACGGGTGGCACAGAGGGCTGTGCCGGACCAGCCTGGCGCTCGGGGCAGCGGGGACCTCAGGGCACCTTTCTTGAGGTGCTGCCGCCGGAGGGCGTTGATGAGCGAGGACTTGCCCACGTTGGGGACCCCGATCACCATGACGCAGTGCTCCAGACGCTGCGGGGGAGGAGAGGTCAGCCGCCGCCCGGGCCCCTCACCCCCCGCTCCCCCCGCCAAGGCCCCACCAGGCCAGCCCTGGCCAGCCCAGGGGAGGAGGTGGGTCCCCCAGCCCCCCGCAGAGCCCCGCCTCCGAAGGGGACCGCCGGCCAACCCACCTCTGCCCGGTGGTAGCGGCAGCTGCTGGCGACCAGCTCCGTGACCAGGGGCACGATCTGCAGCAGAGCTGGGCCTCAGGCCGCCTGGAACCCGCCCGCCGGCCAGCCCCGCCCCTGCACCCCTCCACCCCCGCCAGGGCCGTGCAGGCCGCGAGGCCCCAAGTCCAGCAGGAAGGAGCCTGGACCCGGCCAAGTGCCCAGCAGGCGGGCTGGGGCGCCCCCAAGACAGACGGGCTGGGGGAGGCGCGGGAGCCCACCTGCCCGACGTTGCGATCTCTCACGCAGTCGGTGAAGACGACGCTGCGCAGCCCCTCGGCCTCCAGGCGGCGCGTGACTTCCTGGGGGAGGGGGCGCTGGGCAGGGCGGGGCGGCGGCGGCAG